TAATGGGCAGCTATTTCCAATTTCTTCATCTCAATTTGGAACAGCATTTCTCTTTGCCTGTTTTCTTGCTCTCTTTTTTATTTCTAAATTTTTATATAAATCATGACAATCCATCATGTTACAAGTAATACATATAAGGTTTAACATAATAATCTATCATCTTACTTATTACATTTAACTGTTGACCACCTGCTATTCCCACATTTCACAAGGTCACATTTACACCATTCCCATTTTTAATCTTAGAAAAATATCGACCAACAATCTAATGCTCCGAATTGTTTTCTGAACCACGTGTCTCTACATTTATTTTATTGGCATATTTTAATAAAGGCTTCCAGCTTTTGGTGAATTGACTGTGCCTTAGATTTCTTCTCTATATCATCTAATTTTATTAGTCATTTTTTCCATCAACACTGTGTGCCATATCTTATTCGTATTCTTACTCATTTACACCATTCCCCTTTTATTTTAGAGAAATATTGACCAACAATCTAATGCTCCAAATCGTTCTTCTTTGTGGTCTCTGTGAGTGCACACAAATAGGTTGTTCTGCACCTGCGTTGAACGTCTCAGAAGATTCTTGAGCTTAAAGATACATGATTAGTGGGATGTTCCCCCGTGGAGCAATGCTCCACCCACCTTAGTTTCTCCTCAGTTCCTTTTTTCTGCCATGTCGTTCAGATGTCCTCTGGAAGAATTGAGCATTAGTTATTGCCTTGAGATTCTATTGTATTGAAATCAATTAATTAACACCTTAAATCTACCTTTATTTCTAATTAGTGATTCGGTGTTCCCCCATGAGTTTTTCTCAGTTTTCCTCTAGCTGCATTTTTGCTTCCCCGCTCTCAGCCATTTTTCCCCTCTACTTTCCCGCTCTTTATGGCCTCACCAGGGCCATTTAAGCGGTGCGTTGCTTGCTCTAATAAGATACTGCTGACAGACGGCCACAATCACTGCCTATTTTGTCTGGGGGAACAACATCCTACCCACTCTTGCGTGGCCTTCAAAAAATTGACGAAGCCAGCCCTTAAACTCAGGCTCCAGATTCTTTGTTTTTACCTGTGGGAGAACTCCCTTAATCCCACCGTGGCTTGGATGGAGTCCACAAGATCTCCAGATCCACTGGTAGAGCGGCAAGCTCAATTTCAGCCTGCTCCCAGCTCTGTGACTGTTTCTCCATGATCTAAGGAGAAGTCTGATAAGTCCAAGTCAATGTCGAAACCGAAATCGACGTCAATATCGAACTCTTTGGCTCAAGCCCAGGAATTACCTAAAAAGAAAAAAGATAAATCAAACTCTTAAAAAAATATATTGGTCAAATCTGTGCACATTGACCCTCCCCAACCGACTTTACCATCGCCTATTATGGAGGAGTCTTCAAGAGATGCTCCGGGCTCTACATCAGAAAGGGAAGAGCCACAGTTACCTTCTGCACAGGCTCCAGCATTGACTGGTAGCCTATCACCTCATACTGGCCTTTCTGTGGCTGATGTACCATCCAGCCAGGCCTCGGCCCATTCTAGCCCTTCATCAGGGCAGGCAATTGAAAAACAGCTGTCAGGCGATCACCTCGGAAGTACATCAGGAATATTACCACTACCCCCAGTCTCCATGATATTATCATTGTGATAAAAGGAGGGAGAGACATCAATACTGTGATCCTTACCTACTGGAAGAATCCCAGGACTATCTGTATTATGATGAGCCGAAAAGGGTCAGATACATACTTCCATAGCGACCTTTATTTGTTTATTTATTTCCTTCCTTCCTTATTTATTTATTCCCCGCCCATTTAGGCAACATCTACTCTGGGCACCTAGACGTCCAGACCATCACCATCTCCTTCTCCACTGCCATGCTGGCATCGATCGCAGCAGTTATTACTAACTTACACTACATCTCAGGTCCCAATCAAATCTACCCTTTTTATTTTTTTTTCAATTTTTTATTTTTAAACTACTAGGAATAGGGTAGGGAATACAAAAGGTAAAAGGAAGTGTAAGGGATGGGAAAAGG